TAAATTTACAGTGATCAAAACAAGCCCCAGTCTTTAGTAGGGAAAAAATGCTGAAGCAGCCACAATTTCATGTTTTATTCTCAGTGGTTTTAGGACATATGCAACACTGTTGTTATTGTTTGGGTTTTTTTATTATTATCATTATCATTGTTATTTATCATTATTATTATTTATTATTATTATTATTAACCATAAGAGCATCTGTCCCACTGGGGTTTGGAGAACATAAAGTCCATAGCAACCCCTCGGAGCAGTGATATATCTGCTCTGTGGGGTTTTGGCTAACACAGTGAGAGGTAGTTTCTGATGGGTGGTGCTTTGTAATGGCAATTGATTATCCTGGGAAGAAGACGATCAAGATGTTTGTTACATTTCCCCTTATCACATATCTCAAAATATCCCACATATTTCATAACCTCTCAGATGGTGACACAAGGCAGGGAGACCGACGTGAAGTTGGGGAGGGAGGCAAAGGGAAGAGGCCTCTGGCACAGAGGCTGTGTTAGAAGACACAATAAGGTGTAAAACGAGAAGACTTGGAAAATACGTTTACGAATGTGCTGGAAGCCCAGCTAAGATGGTAAAAAGGAGGGAGGATTCAGTTGTAGGAGCCTGCTGAGGGATGCGTGCAGGGAGCAGGCTGGAGCAAATACCACAAGAGTGATTTCTGGGGCAAACACAGTGATTTTGGTTTGATGTGCAGGAAAGCCAGGCAGCAGGACTGCGCCGGGAGGTGAAGGAGAGGCAGCAGCGAGAGCCGGCAGAGGAGTGGGAAGGGGAGAGCCTGAGCCCCGTGGAGCAACAGCAGGCAGCACTTGGCTGCTGAAAGGCAGGAGACAGATTGTGAACATGCTCGGGGAAAAGTGGCCATTGCCCTTATCCCACTCGCCACAGCACATACAAACAAAGCCACAACCACGACAGGTCTCAGGCCCCTCACATACAGGTTTTTATGTCAGGGTAACTGCTGTCTGCCATGGAGAGTCACGTTCCTTGTTCGAATTAGTGGGGAATCAGGATCTACCTCTACCAACTCTTTTTTAATATATATGTCTATATATTAAACTGAAATAAATTTTAAAGAGGTAGCTGGCTACTCATGGTCTTTCCAAGATCGGTTTCACTCCTGCGGCTGGTGTAAGTTCAGGGAGCACATCCCCAGATATCGATGTTTCTGACACCTTTCAGTTAAGCGAAGGTTAAAGTCTGCCAAGAGAATGTTTAATTCATGTATTTAGTAAGCACAGTTCTTACATCTGCCCACACAATATGCCCAGGAAATATGCTAAATTGGAGCAATAGCTCAGTCAGGGCTAAAATGAGAAACTGTTAAATGGCAACACTTCTGCCAAGGCACTGAAAGCAAGTATCAGGATCACCTCTAAATTATGAATTCTGCTAGCTGAAGTAATTAAAGAGCTCGTTCTGGACTTGCTTCATGGAATTACTCCATGCTGCTGTATAGAGATCTCCTCATCCCAGGGACCTCAGTTGTCCCTGGATGTCTCTGGCACTGGCAGCAGAAATAGACTCTGCAGTGGCTTGGCTGCTTCTTCCGCCTGACAAAAGCATAGATAAGGCAGTAGAGAAAACCACTATGGAAGCACCTATGACAGGTAATTCCTGCGAGGGAGACTTATTTAAATAAAAGGACAACAAGGGCGATAGAGATAAGCTGGCCATGAACAAACTTCTGCTGAAATTTGGAAGCAGGTTTATTTTTTGGTGCAAGAGAAGTGGAATTTTAAGACAGCCTTCCAACTGGCATAGCAGAGTCAAAAAAAAAACCAAAGGAAAAAAATATCAGCCCAGAACCAGTTTGGTGCTTTTAGCTGAAGTTGGGTAGTTTTATGAAACAGATTCCGTGACAACAGAAACAGAAGAGGATTTGGCTCTGTAAACCAAGAGATCTCCTCTAGGTTGACAATTTAGTGTAGACCATGAAATTTTGTTGCACTGAAATGCCATCACCTCTGTAGGTTTCCGTAGGTATAAGTGGATTTGATGGACACCCACACCTTGCTCAGAGCAAGAATGCTCCAAAGGACATGAGATGGCCACTTAGGGCTTAAGTATTATAGCCTGGATGGAGCAGTGTTGATGCTACAGTAATTTTCCTTAATGACTCAAGAGTGTATTTCACAGCAATTCTGTATAGCTATCTTGACCTAGAAGCCTTCTCATGGCTTAAACTCAAATTTATGCCACTCACAGAAGATACCTAAAAGAAAAAACATATCCAACAAAACCAGGAAGAAAACCAGAAGAGTGTAAAGCTATGAAAACTCAGGGAAGAAAATGTGTTGAAGGAAAATGATAGCAGTGGTGCCAACAATTATAAAAGTCTCATAGTGGGAAGACCATTAGCTCAGGGGGCAGCGGTGAGAGGCATTATCAGCCATTCCAGGGCTCAGCACGGCGGGATTGCAGGGGGATGCCCAGCCTGCACGGGTCACAGCGCCGGCCAGGGACAGTGCTCGGGGGCTACAGGCAGCTCAGCAAGCAGCTTTCCTCTCTTTGGGAGTTGACATATGGCCACGTCACCCCTGCAGACAGGTGACATCACCAAAGGGCTCTGCAAGGGCCATTCCCAGCAGAGGCAGTCATCAGGCAATATCCAGAAGAGGACAACATGGGTATGCTGGCAAAGGAAGCTGAGGCGGAAAGAACCGGACTCCTGTCCACATACAGCTTTAATTAGACAATTTATAGTTAAATGATAAAAGTTGTGTATTTGAACACGTTATTATGCTGCTTATATCATGCTAAAGAGTGATTCAGCTTTGTTAGTTCTCACATCTGAACGGCTGGTCAGTACATCATCCATTTCTGCCTCTTCACACCTACATTCTTCCCTCCTCCCCTGATTAAGCACATAAAACGGTGGGGGGAAAAAAAAAAATAAAAAAAAATAAAGATGAGAAGCTGAGCTAAAACGAAGAAAGAAAGAGCTGTTAGTGTTGCTTCACCCCTGGCTGCAGGCTCCATGGGATGGATTTTGCAAGCAGAGGGAGGACAAGCCAGTATTGACGTGTTGTGAGAGCAGGACCCCGCGGTGGCTGTGCCCACACTGCCTCCAGTGCTGGGCGTGCTGCTCTTCTGGCTTTTCCCTGTGGAAGAGAAGTTGGCACACGAATTTACAGGGAAGAAAAAATGTTGGCTGAAGTTATCTTGGAAATACACGTAAAAGCCATCGCATCTGACAATTACCATTTTCCAACCGGGAATGTGTCGAGCTGGAAGTGTTTAATGAAGAGAGGAGGAGGGATGGGCTAGAAGCAGCTGGAGGAGCAGGCTGGGACACACCTGCGCTGTTACCTTCAGCAAACCTCACCTGCTACAGCCCTGTGTTCTTCACCTGAGCTTCCCCACGGGCACCTGATCTGCGGGTCTCTCTCCCTGTCAGCGCTGATGCGTGTCTGACTCCCTTGGTCACACACTGGAGAAACAGATCCTTCGTGCGTGGGCGCAGCAGGCGGTGGCCCGGTCCCCTTGGGAGGCACAGGGAAAAGCAGCCGTGGCTTTTGTTTGGCAGCCAGGGCTGGAAGTCCTGCTGCACTCTCAGCTCTGGAACTTCACAGCGAGGTGTCTGCAAAACCTCACTGAAGTGCCTCACTCAAAGAAACGAGGCAAAACCCCAAGCTGCTACTGATTTTTTTCCTGTTGGTTGCCAGCAGAACAACTTCTTCTGCCAAGTTTTTTTATGGAAGGTGCCGTAATGCAGGGACACGTAGGCTCAATTCTTGTTTTACACATCTTAGTGTTCATTGATTTCAGTGGAAGTGCACTTGATCTCCAAAGAGGTACAAAGAAAAGTTTTCTGTGCAGCGCAGTTATAGGAGGTAGCACCTGGACAAGGTGTAAAATCTTTGAGGCTCAAGAAGGCACCAAATCAGTATGCTGCTTATTCCTGCTATGTGAAAAATACCTTCTCTCTCACACATCAGGGAGCAGGATGCATCCCCAGGGCTGCTGTGTGACTGAGGATGGCAGAAGCATCATTTAAGGGCTCTTTCCCTTACGGAGTGACCCCACTGGGGCCATCCTGAAGTGCAAGGATTGGAGTGGGGTGGTCAGGGTCTGCCTGCTTCCCCGGACACAAAGGAAGGAATTTCTCCTACTGTGCCTGCCTATGCTGGCTTTGCATCTGAACTCCTCTAGAGGAGAGAGGTGGCATTATTTTTAAGACACAAATATTTGACTGTTGCCCTGGTGTGTTCAGTTTCTGCGGCGGTTTTTGGTAGCTGGGGAGGGGGATACAGCAGTCCCCTGTGAGCAGCTTCTCAAAGCTCCCCTGGCTCCAAGTCGGACCCACCTCTGGCCAGGGCCGAGCCTGTCAGTGACGGTGGCTGTGCCTCTGTGGGAACCTATTTAATCCTCCTTCCCTGTGCGGGGGGTGACGCCCTGGCCCAGGGTGCCCAGAGCAGCTGTGGCTGCCCCCTCCCTGGAAGGGTTCAAGGCCAGGCTGGACGGGACTGGGAGCACCCTGGGCTGGTGGAAGGTGTCCCTGCCCATGGCAGGGGGTTGGGTCCCTTCCAACCCAAACCATTCTGATTCCTTTCAGACAAGAAAAAGGAGCACTCCTTAATATTTTAGCCCTAGGAGCAAAACTTCAGCATGTGAAAAATTCCTGACCTCACTGCCCAAGCCATCCCAGAGGACCCATCCTTTATTTCCATAGTACTTATCAACTAACCCAAGCACAAAAATGGAAGACAATAAATCACTTTTTCTTTACTGCTATTTATCTGGGGAGGACCTAAACCTTAACCCAGCAGGTATTCTGCACATTGCAACTCCCACCGAGTCAACAGGGACCAGAGGTGCTCAGCATCTTGAAGAATCAGGCTCACCCATCCCAGGTGAAGAGCTCAGCAGCACTTCCATCTGCAGGGGCTGCCCGAGCCAAAGCACCAGGCTGTCACCAGAGGGAGCTGCAGCAAGAAGAAAGTCTTACTTTTCCATTGTTTTCTTTGTACATACAACACAGTCCAAGTGTCTTTTTTGAATTACATTTTTTTATTAGATGAACACGGTTTTAATACAGAATTTAAAACTCCACGTGTACACAGCCTAGGATGCAACGTGCTCCCTCTCCCACTGGGTTACGAAACACTGACGCCGTGAAGGTGAACACCAGCTCTGCGTTTGGGACCTCACAGGGATGTTACAAATGGCCGGGAGTGGAAGCTTTGCATGCAGGTAGGTCTACACAGGACAGGACAAAGCACATGAGGAAGAGGTGAAGAATAGGAAGAAGGAAGTAAGCTGGATCTGCCCTGGGTGCCGGCAGCGAGCCACGGACCGGCCCGCACCGTGTCTGCCACTCCCGCCCTCTGTGCGGGGCTCCCTCCTCCTCCCGCGGCAAGGTCTAGGGGAACCAGTGGACAAGCCACTGAAGGAAGACTAATGGGATTTGGCACTTCCCTGGTGAGGACCCCACTCTGGCACTCCTGTGAGGTGTCACAAGGCACTGCCTAAAGTCTCAGGGTCCTACTTCTGAATGGTGGTATTCCCAGAATTGGACTCCCTACATAAATGGCCTGGCAGGGGGACAAGGCAGGGAGGGACAACCAAGAAATCCACCGAGAGCTTGGTAGCTCCTCTTTATTTCAGTGATGGCATTTGGGCTGCTCAACACTTGAATCAGATAGTTATTTTAAAGTGTAAACATGGATTTAGGGGCTTTACTCCAGGTCCACTTCCCTTGGACAGTTTGATTCTAGACAGTCAACAAGGAAAAAAAAAAGCCACACTAAGAAGAAATCAAGAGTTCAGAAGAGTCATCAAAAACTGTTTCAACCTTACAAAGCATGTGTCTTTTGACTCAGGCCTCAATATCAATTTCCTGCATTATTAAAAAAATAGCAATATAGAAGCTACCCCCTTCTCAGTTCAAAGTTTAAGCACATCTAAGAAGACCCTAAAGAAACAGTCCTCTTTCTGGCAAGGCACTATCCAGTACTGTGTGGCACAAACAAAACCACCTCTGTCAAAGCCACTGATACAGTGACTGTGCATGTGCACGGCAGCCCACACAGCAACTTCAGCTAGGTACAAAGATTTACAGTTTAATTCACACTGCTCTCCCTTTTAAAAAGTGGGGTAGTTACAAGTATTAGCTAAAGATTGGGATCATTTGGTTCTCAAACATTCCTTTACATGCAATTTTTTTTAAACAGAGTTAAGATTATGCTACTTCTTTCAATAAATGGCTCTAGTTTCCACAGACCTTTTCAGTTACCTGATAGTTACATTTCATTATTACAAAACTGGTTTAAAAAACTCCAGATCATCTTATGTAACAAACTAGATCTCTACTTGCTTTAATTACAAAAATAAGGCTGTCACAAAACAGACCAAATTCACATTCAAGCAACACGTGTACTTTTTTTTAAAAAAACTAGCCACTTATAATTCAAAAGCACGTACTCTAAGGGACATACACTGCCAATCCATGCAAGCAAGCAGGATATCTTTGGAGCTAGTGTTGTCCTCCATACAACTGATTATGCCTACATGCGTGCTCTGAAATAATCTAGCAGCTGTAACAGAACTAGCTCTCCACTGAACGGGAGGCTGCTATTCTGCAATTATCAAAATTCAAGAGGAGTTTTGTGAAACTACTTTCACCCCTGGAGAAATCAATGTGGTTTTGCCTTTCACATCAGTAAGCCTGGGTTTTTAGAAACTGGGACTTCAGGAAGTTCTCAAAGTTTACAACATATCAAGTACATGATAAATCCAGGATGGCTTCTCTGTAATCAACTGCATAATTATGTAAATTTATATCTGTATTAATTTGCAAAGTTAAATATTTTTCTTTAACTTTTTTTTTTTAGGGATAGTTACATTGAACTTGGCAAAGTTAACAATGTACAGCTCCACCTCGTGTCACATACCCTTCCTATAGGGAGGTTCAAGTCTCACGACAATATGGGATAGGTGACAAGAACGTCACTGTAACTTACCACAGACAACATAAGTCTTAAAAATGCACATACATATATGTATATACATACCTGTATATGCATGTTATCAACTCCCATTCAGGCTTCCTCTAGAGAAGGTGCTGTAGCAAAGATTTTGACCAGTAAAGACAACCATGGACTTGAAATCTGTGTGTGCACTTGCTCCACCTAGCCCTTTAACTGAGCTGAGGAGGCACCAGAGGAACCAAACAGAAACTGATTTATGGATGGACTCCTTTAACGTTGCATTTTTTAAAGCTTTCCTGTCTTTGTACAAGAGGGAAAAGACACACAGCTGTAAGCAGTTTGTAGCTGAGACAACACTAACAGGAAGGTAACCAGTTCTTTACTCCAGCCACTGGTCATCATGAACATTGTTTGTGTCATACCTCTGTAGACGCGAGCAAGCCATTGTCCAAAATCTGAGAGGCTACAGTTCTCCTATTGTTCAGCATCTTCAGCAGGGACTTGGATGATGAACTAACGTGCACCCTCAGCAAATCTGTGACCAACACCTGAACCTGCTTCAGTGGTTGGTGATAGCTGGCAGAGCGTCAGTACGGTGGCATCTCAATAACCTTGAGGACTGGGCTAACAGAAACCTCACAAAGTTTGATAAGGACAAGTAGAAAGTTCTGCCCTTGGGGGTGGTGAAGCATCAGTATGGGCTGTAAGAGTGACTGACAGAGTAATACCCTTGCTTAAGAGACCTGGGGATTTTAGTGAATGCCATGTTGAACATCAGCCAGCAACGTACTTGCTGCAAAGAGGGGAAAGCATGCAGTGCGCTACTTCAGAAGTGTGGCCTGCAGGCTGAGGAAAGTTATTATCCTCCTCTACTCAGCACAGATGAGGCCACATCCAAAACATTGTTTTGGGACCTTCTCCCAGTTCAAGAGGGATGTGAACAAACTGGAAAGAGTAACCATCCACCAAAGCAAAGCAGCCAGGGGCGTAAAGCACACAGCCTGTAAAGAGAGGTTGAGGAAGCCAGGTTTGATTAGTCTGGTAAGAAGGCGGCTCAGAAGTGATCTGATGGCAGCCTACAACTATCTTGAGGGCAGTTACAAAAAGGGTGGTGCCAGTGAGTGCCAGGAAACATAGCAAAGGAAAGGCAACAGCCACAAATTACAGCCTAGCAGATGAGGCTGGACGTTAAAAGAAAGTTTTCACCAGGAGAGTACTGCAGCACTGGCAGAGATTATCTGGAGGGTTATGAGATCATCTCTGGATATTTTTAACATTATTCTAGACAAATCCATATCTGATCCAAGCTGGTGTTGGTGTTAGACATCATTTTGACAGTGTTGGACCAGATGACCTCCAGATGTCCCTTCCAACTAACATGTCTTGGATGTCACTGTTACTGATTTTAACAGAACATGTGATTTGTTGCACAGAGAGTGCTGCTTTCTGACGCTTTTTACAAGTTTGTCTTCCTTCAAGCCACACAGTCCGAGTGATGCTGTGATTGCAAAGAAGCTTTCCCACATGATGGTTGTCTTTCACTTACCTAAAGACATAAGGACATTTAGTGGAATGGCACTACCCTGTCATTATGAAATCACTTGAGTAAAAGCCACATTCAAGCATAGCTGTTATTTTCATAGCCAGACTTGATTCAAAATGCATGATGTAATTTGACTTCTGTCTAGAATGCATTTTGTAATGGTTATTGGCAAGTCATGGGCCTAAGTTCTGCTATGTGCATCAATGCAGTCCCACTGGAATAATTTCCACTTCCTTTACTTGGCTCCTGTCCCTCAGCTGAGCTGACCATTGTGGCCTTATCCAGCAGGGCACATGCTCAGCTTTCTCACTGTCTTAGAGGCACCTCCACATTTCCACACCTGGGGATATAACCGGGACAACAGCTGGGTGAGTTAGGTGTGCTCTTGCACCATGGTAGAGTGTTTAACCACCCATGGAACTGACCGCTGCCTCTCAAAGTATCCTCCCGATGGTCATGGGGCTAATGGTGGAGCTGTGTGTTATTGAAGGTAAACTCAAGGTTTTGGCAAAATTTAATTTTAAGACAGTTCAACCCTAGAGCTCCAACTTCAGATGTTGAGCATTTCTCAGTTAAGAGATAACTTAATATTAACATTAGCTATGAGACCTTTTCTTCTGAACTACCTAGTTATCTTCCACCAAGTATTTTGCTGCACATTTCACCTGCTTTTGGAACAGGAACCATGTCAAAATATTTCACTTTGGCACCTCCTTCATGATAACTGTTTTTAAACAGTCAGTTGCAGTGTGCATCATTAGACAAATCAAGTTTTCATGAACAGGGTTAGCAGCCCAGGTCTCTTACAATAAACGTGACCTAGCATAAACATCACAAGAAACAGGTGTAGAGGAAAAATATGACAGTTATTGGCTTAGGCTGAGATCTTAAGATTGGTGATTTTTACCTTCTGGATCATAGCCAGCACAAGCTTTCTAGTAACCACCAGCACTTTAACTATCATGATGAGCTAATTTCAACTACAGTAGTTGGAATGATTAGAAAAGGTAAGGAATCTGACTACATAAGGATATCCACGAATGACAGAAGTCCTACGCTTCCACTCCTTATTCTCAAACATATTATGTCTGTTAGAATACCAGTGCCAGTTGCAAAAGCAACCCAAAGACATAAGTGAAACATCAACAATGAGTGCTTTTAAAAAGGAAGATGAGTAGCCAGGCCTTAATCCTGTTTCATATATGTGTTGTTAAGTCCACATTATTGGAGAGCATCGTCTCACGGCAAGCAGTCTACTACTAATGATGCGTGTTTGCTCTATCACAGTGATCCATTAGGGAAGCTGTTGTGTGCTGAAGAACAGGGTCATTCATCCAGAAGATGTGCTTGTCAATACTTCAGATAGGTTTTCTAGGGTTCTGACCCCTATTTAAAAACAAAAACAAACAAAAAAAAAAGAAAGAAAGAAAAAAAAATATTATTAATGCTGTGAATACACTCTCATCTTCTGAGTCTGACCTTTGCATAGAAGGTGCCCCTAACCCTGGTCCACAGAGCAGCTGAGGATGCCTCACTCTGAAGTACTACCAGACTGAAGCAGTGATTTGGCCAAGTTTATAGAGACACTCCTCCAGGCCTACAACAGGTTATTTCCCAGGAACAGAGCTGCACAGAAGCTGCTATTTCTGATTGTAGTAGGACGTCATCTTTTTCCTAGGACTAGTTCTTCAAGCTACGAAGTGAGGCGGGCTGCCAAAATAACCTGCTTTTGCAGTTCCCTGTTGAGGTTCCTCCTACTCCTGTCCCTCATGAGGTACAGAAATAAATAAATTCCTGGCAGAAGAGGAACGTTATAAATACCCAAGACCTATTGTCCAGGCCTGAAACAGTATTACTACCAAACGCAGCTATATCTACAGTAGTCAAGGGAAGAAAAATCCTCTCCTATGTGTCTGATCTACTGCCCAAAGGTGCACCATAGTCTCTTTGAACAAGTGTCCAGGCTTCCATACGTCAATAAAGTCTCCTCTATTATACCGCTCTCAACAGAAGGATGTTATCTGGCTTTGTGTTCTGATCTGTATATATATGTATTTGTTAAAACTGAATTCTTATCCACAAAGTTGATATAACTCCTGACTGCTCCAGCACTTCAGCATTAAAATACAAAAATAATGCCCAATGTATAAATGCTGTCCTGGTTGAGCTATTATGTCAGGCGGGCCCAGTAAGATATTTTGGTGACCTAAACCGCTGATATTCCAGTGATTAAGATTCTAGTTTTTGTCTCCTGCTATAGTAAAGTCAGTTGTTTTCCATTTAGATTGATAATGTGAAGAATGTATTCTTTAAAATTCATTTATCTGCTGTCTCAAATTAACTCCCATGTATATCCTTGGTTTCATTTAAAATGCTTTGCTTTTCTTGGCAACCATTTCAATTACCTCATTAGCATGAAGTTGATATGGACAAGGTATGGATCAGGGCAGTAGTGCATCTGAACACACAGAGTTCTTTCAGTTCAAAGAAAATTCAGTCTCAGTATTTCAAGAATTCCATGAAAAGTCTACAATGCTACACTGACCTTTGATGCCAAAGTAGGTTTCAGCCTAAGAAAGGAGAAGACAGTGTTGCTCTCCTTTGATTCAAAAAAGCCATCGTAATCCTACAGAGAAAAAAAAAAGGAAAAAAAAAGTTAACATTTGTATTCGTCTTTGCCTTATTGGTCTTACCACACCACATATTAGGCTAAAGGGTGATAAGTAATAATGATCAGGAAAATACTGATACTTACCCATATGCTCCTATGCAAACCTAAAAGCTATTCTAAACCACAATGATATCACCAGCTACAATGGCAAAGAAAAACACAGAAATTCTCAAACTACAGGATCTTTCACCACTTTATTTGACTGAAAAATATAAACATGGACTTGCATTAAAAGGAAATCTATTGTGGGTATATTTTGAAGGTATTTAAGTGCCTAACAATGCAAGTAAGTTTCTAACTGGGTTTCCAATTTGCATTTTAGCAAACAAAATACTTCCTAATGTGGAAAACTCCAAGAAGTAGTCCTAAGGCAGCTGAACTCCTTATTTCTTCTATGGTAGAAGAGAGACTTCATCATCATCATATCCTTTGAAATCAGCAATCATATCTCAGCCTTGGACAATGTCATAGTCAATTATAAAATGTTAGCATAAAGAAACTTGTTGTATAGAAAGATAAAAACCAAGCTTCGTTACCATGATTAGGTTCCTTTTAGGTTTCAGCTGCTTAAAATCAGGTTCTGATCTCAAAGTGTTACTACTACTTTTACAGATTTGTTTATTGCACTGAACACCTGTTACTCTTCTATCATCCAATGAGCCAACAATATTTGGTTTTCAAAGGAAAAAGAGAAAAACAGAGCACAGTTAGTGAATGGATTTCACATATGGTAAGAAGCCAATAAGTTTCAGCTCTTGTTTGTGGTTTCACAAAGATTTCCTCTATGACCACTAGCAAACAATAAAGCAACCAGTTCAGACTCTTTTCCTCCACCTCGTAGCTGCAAAATGGAAATATTAATCCTTACTTAACCACTTCTGACATGTAAAATACTCTGTAAATGTCAGGAAATTTAAGGTATGTGCTCACCACTACATAGCAATTATCTCTAAATAGCTAAGATTAGTAGTAACACTTAACTTGAAAGCATTCAACAAGAGAATTTAAATATTGACTGTGCACATACATGCTTTCAATACAGAATAGGAACAGGCAGTCTCTGTGCCTCCACATGCTCCCCATCTGTGTGACAGTCATTCCCAATGCACCTGAGCCCCAAAGTTTGCACTTTTTTGGCTCCCAACCTCTAATCTCATTACTTTTTGAGAGCTCATGTCTCATTGTTACAGTTTCAGGTACTTTCCCTGAAATTTGACCTCAATTTTTCCCCAGCAGCAGCTGCTTTGCCGACTTGTCTCCTTCCACTCCTGCCTTATCTTGAACCTGTAACCTCACAAACCACCCCACAATCACAGGGGACCATGTAAGACAAACAGAAGAAGCTCTAATTGAAAAGCAGAAATCTTTCTCTGACCTGGCTATTGCTGGAAGGCCATCACAGGATATGCAAAGATTAGGAACCTTCTTTTATCTTCCAACCAGAATTTCCTCATGCCTAGCCAATATCCACTTGTGCTTACATTTTGGCTTCTCAGATCCTAAGCAGGAAGAAAAAAAGGTCTGGGCAAGCATTCTGCTTCCCAGTATTTCCCTGGGTCTTCACAATACAGTGTGAATCCCTGAATAGCCCTTCATCCCACCTGCCAGATCCAATTATAAGATATAACAAATTATATCCTTTCAGAAGGATGGTTGATATTTTGTGAAATAACTCTGTAAGGAAAGTGTGTGCTTGCAGATGAAGACTTTACTTCTCTTTGTTCTCTTTTTTCCCTCTCTACCAATGTAAAAGAAAAGATTGCTCAGGCAGAAAATACATATTCACCATAGCAAGGATAATATACCTCCCACGAGATCCATAATCATCCTGCAGATGTGCAGAATTTCTCTTAAAAACTTTATGGTGCACTAGACAAAGATGCTTTACTAGCATTTCCATAATGATATACTGCTATACCAATGTGAACACAACTGTCCCAGCTAAGTGATACTTTGCATAGTCATTCAAATACCCTCTGCCCAGAAAACAATCATAGCCACACAGAGGCAGTTTCCCAGCTTAATCCTCTGTACTAAAAGCTTCAGCCCTGAAAGACACAGAGAGTCCAGCAGGAGTATATGATGGTCACCAGGCCTCTGGCATATTAGCTGACATAAGTAGAAAGAACAAACCTTCTTAAGATGGCTTTTCATTGTTGTCTTAAAACATGGCATATTGCTGTGCTATAGGATAGGGCAATAAGTCAGTATTCCAGGTCTCAGCTTTATGTCTACTAATCCTTCCAGCTTTCACACATGTGTCTGTATCTATGTATATACAGAGAATTGACAGCGCACGCATTTCTTCTGTCTGGTTTTCAGTTCCATGGTTCTCTATGAGCAATACATAATTTCCAATGAATACCATCTACTCACTTCACTTTATGGGAAGAGTCAAGTTTATTTGCTTTCACTGCCAGGAGAACGAAAGACTTCTAGGAATAAAGCAGTTCTGGAGCAAAGGAAGGTAGAATCTCCTGCAAGGATCAGCATCATAGACTGGCAAACAGACTTGTAGGCAGATGCTGCTTATCACTATGAGCACAGAACCATTATCATTACTGTTTTAAATGCTAACATATGAATATATCAGGCACAGTTTTAAGTTCTCTCACTGTTAATTTTAGGTATGGTCTCTTCCACATAACTTTGAAATTAAACATATAATTAAACAAAGGAAACAGACACTATCACATCAATTTAAAACATCATTAGAAGTGATGAACTGATGTTAATTTCTAAATTCACATAAACTTACAATTAATAGCCAGAAAGTAAATCCAAATAAAAGACACAGATCTCACAACTAAGCCATGGCATAAGCTGAAACAGTATTGAAAGCAACCCCAGCAATGCCATGGATTAAAAAGGGACAATATAATCATTGACTAGCTAGAGGACTAATAAGTAATACTGAAGCTTGGCATAAGGATGTTTGATTAAGCCCTTGACCTCTACAAATGAGACTTGAAAAACTGCATGGACACTATTAAACCTGAAAAATTCCAGTCTGACTCTGCTAAAGAAGATGAAAAGCCATGAGGGACACAAGCTACATAAGCAACCATGTGAAGACAGCACCTGATCTGACTGAGAAAAACACCTTCGTTTTCGCTACTGGTTTCATCTACAGGTGAGTCTCACTATCTCTGGAGCTGAAGGTTGGGGAGCAGTAGATCGGCGAGAAGAACAAGGGCACACCCCCCTTCACCCCCTTTAATATCAGGGCAGGTTTAAATTGTCTGAAGATGCTCATTACAGCTCTGTAAACTATAAGCAGCCAACCTGTGGGCAGGCAGCTCTTGAGAGCATTTCTGCAGCAGCATGGCTCAAGACAGACATAATTTTCACTCCCTGCCAGAAGCACCCTCCTTTCCTCCTAAGCACAGAGGCAGTTTCCATGAGCCCCCAGATGCCTGTTTCTCTCAACACTTTGTCCAAGGAAGCTTCTCTGTTCAGGTGAGTCATCATCTCTCACTGCCGCTTTCAAATTCTGGGGTTCTCCTGAAGTGTCTTCATCCCAGTACTTCAATTAGTTCTAAAACTGTCACTACTCTAAGACCACAGTTTTTTCACTCTTTATTAATAAATTGGAAAGAAAAACAGGGCAGGGAAGGATTCACAGCCTGAAAATAATGTCATAAGAAATAAGGCTCCATTCCTGGCTCTGACAATGACTTCGTGACTCAGCTAATCCACCAATATCTGTGAACATCTGTTTACCTTAAGATCTGTAAAGTAATTTAAAACTTAAACATAAAAAGCTTTCTGCAACAGCTAGTTATCAATTTTTACTTCCAGAAGTACCCAGGCCTAATTTAGTAAGTCTTTTCCACAGTTTTACAGATTACCAAACCTGGATTCCCTTACTGAAAAAAACTGTGAAGGTTAAACAATGAGCTAAACTGAGTAAGTGTATGTTTGAAAGAGCACAAAACCCAGTGATTGATTCATTTTAAAAGGAGCAGAATATTTAATAACCACAAGAGATTATCCACCAGAAGCAATCTCCCCGATGTTTTGAAATATCTGCATTGCAAAACATACTCAAATGCTACTGACACTTTCTTACTTTCATGGGGGATGGAAGGAAGAAGCATTATTCTTTTAGATAAAGTAGCAGTAAAATTTTAAATAGGAGAATTTTCCTACTAATTTCTGAAATGAAAACATCTGATCCCAAAATATTCAAATGCGAAAAAAAAGTCACAAAAAACACATAATAGTGCTATACAAGTTGAAAGAAGTCACTTTAGTATGATAATTTATTAAGAGATTTTTGAGAAGCATGATCTCAAGAACTCATCAGCTGTGCTTTGGCATGTGGTAGGAGTTCAAAGTGGGCATCCCTGGCTTTCCCTGTAAAGCAGGTGAGACAATGGATGTTCCAAAAACATCCTGCCTTTGACCTTACCATTAGAAGGAGAGAAAGCATGTGCAAATTTGGGCCACATGTAAAGACACTAAATCCATGGATGAGGACATGAAAATTCTTGTCTCACATCAAGAACACCCCACTGCTACCAGCAGTAGATGCAGAGGCTGAAGAAGGAATATGGTGCCAAACTCAGTGGAGGCTGAGAGCTTCATACACAGGCAAGAGCCCAACTCATTTGTGAGCCAACAGATTCCACCTGGAAAAACTCTGTGGGACATTCTGCCTCCCACAGAGGAAGGGCAACACCACCATCACCATCTGCTGGTTTTGTCAAGGCAGTGGTTCCTTGTTTCTGCACCAGGCTTCCCCACCCCTACCACGTTACTACAATCCCCTTGTCACTGTCCCAAGCGGCTCCACCAAGCCAGCGGGTGCCGCGGCTTTGCTGGGATCAGCTGAGCAGCGCGGGTCTCGCCCCTGTGCAAGGAAGTGGCTCCCACTGCTGCCCTGGAGGCATTCAGAAAGCAGCTGTTACCCTAAAAATACACAAGCACGACAAACTGCCACCCACTGCCCC